GCTCCGCAACGGGAGAGGCCACAACAGTGAGAGGCCCGCGTACCGCAAAAAAAAAAAAAAGAGGTTTGTCATTAGTCAAAACAAGTTCAGCAGATTAAGTGACTACCACCTCCACCTACTGCCGTATGTCAGTGGATTCTGATCCCTAACGTTCCGGACACAGCTTTAGACCAGAGGCCAACCAAAGCAAAAATTACAACTTCCAGTAATACAGCCCAGTTGGGTATCAGTCTCTTAAAAATAAACTTCCAGGCACCAACATCTGAGATTCAGCACAGTAAATATAACCACGGGAAACCTCGCAGGGAGATCTGGCCCCTCCATGATGCCTATTCAGATCAAGATGTGGCCCTGGTGCCTTCTGCACATTGACCAACCCATCTCAGAAAGAATGGTCTACATGGTCAGCCTGGCCCTGCGGCTCCCTCCTCAGCCAGATATGCCACCCGCTAATACATAAAAACTCATTTTTATGAAAGGTGATTGAATATTCAGTCACCTTCTTGACCTTTGACTCAGAGCTTTATTAACACCCATGGCATTGTAAATGGTATCATAAATTCCATATCAAAAATGGAAAAGAACATCATCTGTAACAACATGGATTCCAGAGAGACTGGCACTTGATTTCCATGGCTGTAGTGGCATCAAAAGTGCTTTTTCCACAAAGCATTTCAAATCAAAGTAGCCAATAGTGAATAGGCAAAGTTTGCACAGATAAATTAAGTCTGAACAATCAGTGTGGGTATTTTCCTGTTTCTCTTTACGTGTTTCCTCCCTATCTCTCAGAACTGGCTCTAATTCAGTCTGACCTAACATGGCAAGCTGCTGTCAGACATAATGGACATGCCTTTCAGAGCTCCACATGGTTTCAGAAACTGGAGACTGCCAATACACCTGGTAGAGAAGAGAGGCAAGGACAGCAAGTACTGGCCAGGATTTCATTCTGAATATCCTTGTAAGAGACCTCAGCTCCAAGTGGGCCACATACCCAGAGAGACGAGCTGGGGAACCAGAGAGAGGCGGCAGCTAAAGTGGCAATGCTTAGACCCTTCGTTTTGTTACAAAGGAGCGACCGTGTGGAGTTCACCAGTGTAGCTGCAGCAACCAGGTTCTGCTTTGCATGCCCCAGAGGCGAGGAGCTTGGAAGGAAGGGCGGGAGGGTCCTCCTCACCTAAGAAAAGAAGAGAGGGCAGAACCACACGTCATTGCACTTCAGTGGGCTGGACACTCAGACCAGAATGAAGCTGGATCTGGGTTTGAACCACTCACTTTGTACAAGTGAGGCAGGCATCCCAGTCAGCTCAAGACTGCGCATTCTCCTCCTGCTAACAGGTTCTAGTTCCCTTAGGGGAGGATCCAGGGTTTGCAGGCATGACTCCAACTAGTCATAGGCACAGGAGGAGTAGCTCCAGACAGCATCCTGTGAGGGTTCCCTGGGGAAGCAGGCCCTCCTACCTGGAGCCTGTGCTGAGCTAGAATGGAGAGAATACTGTGCCCTGTGAACTCCAGGTTCAATACATGTGGCTTTAAAGACTTGGGAAGGTGGGGGGGTGGTGAACATCACAAGTCCCAACAAAGATACAGGTCCACAGACCCTCATCTGACACCCTTGGGGACCAATGTGTTTGGTTTGGTTTTACAGTATTTTTTTTTAAGTCTTTATTGAATTTGTTACAATACTGTTTCTGTTTTATGTTTTGGTTTTCTTGGCCACGAGGCATGTGGGATCTTAGCTCCCTGACCAGAGATCTAACCAGCACCCCCTGCATTGGAAGGTGAAGTCTTAACCACTAGACCACAAGGGAAGTCCCGGGCCCAGTGTGTTTTGGCATTCAGATGTTTTCACAGTTTAGAAAGGCGACATAATGAACATACTGTATATTACATAAGATGGTACCAGGCAGCTCACCATAATTTATCAACAGTATTTCTGCAGCTCACACATGTGAACATTCCCATTACCTGGGATCAGTAGAGACTATGCATGGAGTTTTGTTACTTCCCATCGGGCTGCCGAATAAATTTGCACCAAAATTAGCAAAAAGCTTTCCTGGATTTTGGACTCATGGGGCAAGGCCGTGGCCTGCATCAGGCACCCGACCCACCGACCCTCCCGGCTCTGCGCGCCTTACCCAGGCCTGATGAAGACGACATGCTCTCCGTCAGCGAAGACGTCTCCGTTTGGTCCGTGGAGAGCCCTTCCATCAGGGGCAGGGACAATTCGGACGAAGGCACGGACGACTCGTAGATGCCCGAGTCCCGTGGCATGTCCGAGGGGCCGGCAGCTTTCACCGCGTGCAGCAGGGGCCGCAGGACCGCGCTGGCGCCCGGAACGGGCCCAGCCTCCGCGTCTTCGTCCGGGCCGAACTGCGGGCCCTCAGAGTGCGGGTCGGCCGGCGCCCCAGAGCCAGCGGCCTCGGCCTTGAGACGGAAGTCGCTCTCCGGCCCTGGCTTGCACAGGACTTCGTTTAAAACCAAGCCTGAGTCAAACTTCTTCAGAACCGGTTCCCGGTAGCGGAGTGGGGGGAGATGGAAGGGAACAAACTGCTTCTCAAACCAGTCAGGCTCCTCGTCGATAAACTGGTGCATGTTGCAAATGGCGACGTACAGGGAGCGGCCCGATTTGCTCCGGAAGTAGTTCCTCCTGCTAATGCGTCCGGGGTGCAGCCCTGGCTCCTGGGGGCTGAGGTCCTGGGAATGCAGGTGGGAGCAGAGCTGGGGAAGGTGGTCCATGAGTTTGTACTTGGTGCTCAGGTCCAGGACGCCGGGAACGTCTCCCTCGCAGGAATAATCGAAGTAGACGGCGATGAACTTGCTGAGCGCCGTGGATGAGCTCTGCTTGGCTTGGCGGAGCTTCTCAGCGATGGTAGACACCGCCACCAGGAAGAGCTCCCCTTTCCCCGAGCCTCGGGCACCTCCTTTGTGCTTGTAGTTCTTCTTGTCTACGAAGTATTTCATGCCTTTGGAACACACCACGATGATGAACTGGGACTCGTGGATCTTCTGGATGACCCATTCTCTCTGCCCTTCTCTGCAGAGGCTGAAGTCTTCCCACAAGTCCAGAGCGACCTGGAAAGTGAACAGAGAACCTCACTCACCTATACAGCTTAGAGAGTCGAGTGACAAGAATGGGAATGTTACAAGAAGGGCACATCATCTGCCCCAAATCATTACTAGCACTGCTATATGCAGGCTTCGGGTTGCCCAGTTCCAAGGAACAGCTAACATTCCATGGGCGACCATCACACACAGGCCCTCTGTATCATGCCCTCGTTTTAGCATAATGTGGGATCGTTACCACTCCCATCCTACAAGTGAAGAGACAGAAGCACAGAGCGTCTAGCAACCCACCAAAGTTACATCTCACGTGTGGGGGCTTCAACTGACTTAGAGTGCGATAGGGAGCATGGAATACAGAGGCAGTGGGGGTGGGTCTATCTGATGAGTGAGGCTGCCTGGATGGGGGGCAGATCCTGGAGAGAGAACTGGAAGGTGGTGATAGACGGGTGTGGGTGAGGGATCTCAAAGTGGGCTGGGAAATGGGGTTCAGGTCTGGATGCCAGAGTCACCCGCCCATGCTGCTGGCTGACTCAATGACAGAGTGTGACTGACAAAGAGGACCTCCCTGGCCTCTCACACAGCCCTGGGGTCAGCCTGCTGTTTACCTGGTGATCAGTGCATGGAGAGGAAGGTGATGAGCTGCCGTAACATGGCCATTCTGGTTCAGTCACTTGGAGTGACCGGCACCTCTCACCACTTCTCAGCAGTCTACAGGGCCACATCCCTACGAGACCCCTATGAGGCCTTTAACCCCAAGGGGAGGTCTCATAGGGAGTCTGGGGGTGGGGCACTGACAAAGAAAAGAACACAAGGTATGCGTGGCCCCTCAGAGGGCTTCACCTTCTCAGACCATCTTCATCTGATTCTGCTGAAAACGTCTCAGCAATTATATCAGCCTCTTTCCTTCCGTAGTTCAGAAATTAACTCTCAGTGACTATGCCTAAACGTGGCAGCCACAGTCCCTTATGTGGAAGGGGGCTCTGAAATGACTTTGCCTTCCTCTTTTGCTCTAAAGTGTTACCAAGGGAAGAAAGCCCCCAACATCCCTCCAGTTGCTGAAAATCATCCTGAATTGTCTTACATTTTCCTTAATTCTCACTAACATTACGCATTCTGAAAGCTAACTGGGAATATATACCATGCACTTTAAAAATGTTCCTATCTGACCCAGCAATTCCATTTCCAGGTATCCACCACTGGAATGGGGCAAAATTGAAATAATGAGATGTTTAACAATTTGAAAAAACTCAAATATGGTAAATCATTAATATGGATCAAAAGTCTGTTTAAAACTGCTCTTTACAGAGAACTGCTAAGAGTGTAAAAAGTTACTGAGTGAAGAGACAGAAAAAAGTAATTCCAATCCATCCAAAATGCAAAACTATATGTATGAGTTCATATATGCAGAAAGAGACTGGAAGGAAATACAGCAGTTTTAACTGTGGTTCCTCTATTCTCCAGGTTAAGATTACCATCCATTTTGAAATTTGTCATCCTTTTCTAGTTTCCAAATTTTCTATTACACTCATAACTGGAAGGCTTCCCCCCACCCCCGAGGCTAGTCACTTACAAAGTAGAGCAGAAGGGTTGTCAGTATCTGAAGACTGTGTGCCATCTGCGGGTCCGCACCAGTTTTTCAGTACACAGGCTGATCTGCCAACGTCTAGACCTTCATATACTAGGAAACCCAGCCAGCCTTGTAAACATGCTTAACTGACACTAGGGGACAGCCTCACCATGTGGAGAGAGTCTAAGAAACCCACCAGTCCTCAGTTTCAAAGCACAAATAACTTCCAATTACACAATTATTGTACAATTCTTGCATTTGTAAGAAACAGTGTGCCTTCCATGACAGCTTCAAACTTCACTCTAAAACGAACACTATGACATTATAGAAAAGCTACCTATTAACAGCTTAACTCAAGAGAACAGGCAAGAAACCAGAGGAGACCATTTGAGTACTTAACATATTACTGTTTTCCCTTATTAGCCAAGTTCCACCCCCCCCAAAACTGTCTAAACTCACCTCTTTACTTGCCATTCTCTCTTTGAACCTCCAGTGCTCTCCAGGATGTCTTGAGTGACCTCCCACCGGCCCCATTGCACGCTCCCAGGGCAGCTGCCATTTCCTCCACCATCCTGTCCCCCATTCCCCCGAGGTCTTTTTAATGCTTAAAACACTTCCTGCCAGGTGGGTGCCACTCAAGGCTTTTGAGCAGTAGTATGTCAGGGTTAGAACTAAGTGTCAGCAAACATTTCTGACCCTAGTTTGGAAGCTAGGCATTTAGCACATGTCCCGCCCAGAAAAAGAGAAAAGACTTTAGATTCCTCACCTCACAGCCACAGAAGTCCTGGAGGAAGTAGGCAAAACACTGGACGACATTCATGTGATTCTGGCCATCTTTACTGGAATAGCAGAGGAAGACCTTGGGCCGTGGCCGGAGCCTCTCCCTGGGAAGTGCTGTGATGTACGTGGAGGACTCAGAACTCTCTTCATCTAAATGTGAATATATATTTTCTAAAGTGGAAAAGAAGATAGGGTTGGCGCCCATGAGCAAAGCTCTATCCTGTTCCCTACGACTCGGGACCTAATGCTGTCTTCAAGAAACAACAGTCACCATGTCACCTAGAGCACTCCCAGCTCCCTAATTCCACCAGCCCCTTGGGTCACCTCTGGGAATGGGACAGCTAGTTTCTGCAGTGGAGCCAAAAATGGACAAAATTTGTTCTTCACCTGAAATTGACCTCGGGCAGGCCAAGAGCACTGCAGCACCAACCCACCCTCTTGCAACGGAGTGCACCTACTAGATCATTAAGCATCAGCAGAGGTGACCTTCTTTAAAACAAAAAAACTTTCATTGAAGGGTTTTTTTTTTTCTTGTACAAATTACAAAGGTAAAGTCCATAAATCTTAAGAGTACATCTCAATAAATTTTATCTAAGAATACACCTGTGTAACCGCCACTCAGATTAAGATATATTTCTAAGTTTCCCAGAAGGTTCTCTCCCGACGTCAGACTTCTATAAGTGATAAAGCCCTACCTCTTCCCTTACTCACACCTTTCGTCTTCCTTTATGCTCTTGAATTTACCATCCTGAGTTTGAGAAGAGAAGTATGCCTGTCCTTTTAGTGGCTCCTGAGGTTAAAAGTCAATTTTTTTAATTCTGGGAACTATAGCAGCCAGGGAACTCACTACAGGAGCTGTGTGGCTTCCCACCCGCCTGCCTGGAGGGACCAAGTGCTCCGGGTCTCCCTCTGTTGGCCCTAGACCTGCCAATATGGGAAGAACACACCACACATAGATATACCTTGCTGCTTCTTGCGGCACATCACCG